AGGAAGTGCCTGTACCTCCTAGTCTGCGATTAATTCTTTCTAGTGTTTTTTTCATTTCAGCTATTGTATTTTCAACTCTGATCAGTTCTTTTTATATTTTCTAGTTCTTTGTTGAAATTCTCACTATACTCCTCCATTCTTTTCTAAGTTCAGTGATATTTTAATGACCATTGCTTTGAACTCTTTATTAGGTAAATTACTTATCTCCATTTCATTAGGGTTTCTTTTTCCTTGGGGTCTTATCTCATTCTTTCCCTTGGTATCTCTAATTTTCTTGAAGAGTTCTCTAGTCTTTCCCATTCTATGTTGGGTGGTCTGAAATACCAGACCCGTATGCCGGTCTCCTGCGAAACCTGTATGTACATCAAGAAGCAACAGTTAGAACCAGACATGAAACAACAGAATGGTTAAAAATAGGGAAAGGAGTACATCAAGGCTGTATATTGTCATCCTGATTATGTAACTTCTATGCAGAGTACATCATGAGAAATACTGGGCTGGATGAAACTCAAGCTGGAATCAAGATTTCGGGGAGAGATATTAATAACATCAGATATGCAGATGACACCACCCTAATGGCAGAAGTGAAGAGGAACTAAAGAGCTTCTTGATGAAGGTGAAAGAGGAGAGTGAAAAAGCTGGCTTAAAACTAGGATAATGGGATCTGGTCCCATCACTTCATTGCAAACAGATGGGGAAACAATGGAAACAATGACAGACTTTATTTTCTTGGGCTCCAAAATCACTGTGGAAGGTGACTGCAGCCATGAAATTAAATTAAGGTGCTTAATCTTTGGGAGAAAAGCTATGACTATCCTAGACAGTGTATTTAAAAGTAGAGACATTACTTTGCTGACAAAGCTATGGTTTTTCCAGTAGTCATGTATGAGTCTGAGAGCTGAACAATTAAAAAAGGCTGAGCACTGAAGAATTGATGCCTTCGAATTGTGGTGCTGGAGAAGACTCTTGAGAGTCCCTTAGACTGCAAGGAGATCAAACTAGTCAGTCCTAAAGGAAATCAACCCTGAACATTCATTAGAAGGACTGATGCAGAAGTTGAAGCTCCAATACTTGGGCCACTGATGCGAAGAGATGACTCACTGGAAAAGACCCTGATACTGGGAAAGATTGAAAGCAGGAGGAGAAGGGGACGACAGAGGACAAGATGGTTGGATGGCACCACTGGCTCAAAGGACATGAGATTGAGCAAACTCTGGGAGATATTGAAGCATAGGGAAGGCTGGCATGCTGCAGTCCAGGGGGTCGCAAAGAGTTGGGCACGACTGAGCGACTGAACAACAACATATCTTAATTCTTTCATTTGGAACATACTTCTCATCTTTTCATTTTGTTTGACTTTGTCTATGAGATTAGGTGAAACATTACCTGTCCCAGTCTTGAAGGTGTGTGCTTCTGGGGAGCATCCCTTTCAGTCTGTGTGCTCAGTGGCTTTGGTGGGAGACCTGAATCTGAAATTAGCAAGGACCACGGCTTCTCCTGGCAGCCACCACCTTGGTGGGGATTAGAGCTGGAGACAGAGGGGCTGAAGTCAGAGTCTGGTGTAAGCCATGGATTCTCCTGTGGCATGATGGTGGTTGCTGCCTTGGTGGGGATATGATTGGGGCCAGAAGGGCTTAAACTGCAGCCTAGACAAAGCTGCATCTAGGCTGGAGACATGCTGGCAGTTACACACTGGCGGGCGGTTGGCAGAGAGGCTGTAGCTGGATACTGGGGTAGAATGTTCTGGGGCAATCTGGCAGGTTAGCTAGAGCACCAGGAAGTTTTCAATCTTCTACCTTTGCACTGAGATGGACAGCAAGTGAGTCTGTGGGTGTGCTCTTCAAGAGCAGATCTCAGTTTTCTACAGCTTTCTGGTAAGCCCCCCTCGTTTTCTAAACCAGGAAATGGGGCTTTATCTTCCTGATGCTCAATCTCAGGGTTGGGATGCCCAATGTGGGGCTGAACCCCTTTCTTTTTAGGGCGAATCCCTGAGCCTGTGATATTTTCTTCCTCCTCTGGGTTGCCCACTGCGGGTGTGGGTCCCAACTTGAGCACTTCTCTTCTACTAGACTCTGTGTGGCTCTTTGTTTGATCATAGAGTCATTCTTCTAGTCTTCAAGTTGTCCTCAGAGAAAATTGCTCTATTTGTATTTGTAATTTTGATGTGTTTGTGGGAGGAGACGAGCTTGGTGTCTTCCTAATCTGCTACCTTGATTGCACCTTTTGCCATTTTGTATTTGAAGTTTAGTTCTTAACCTGATATATTAAACTTAGAACCAATATTTAGTTATGAGATAATTTATTATATTTCCAATAATTATCAAATGGAAGTGCACAACTAGATAAAAACAAACAAAAAATTCAATTGCTTGAGAATTGACAGAACCCTCAAAGATCAGTTACATTTGTGTGAGGTGCACTGTTCGGTATTCACTTGAGAATGTGATAATGACCCTTGGTGCTTTTGAATTCACATTTGAATCTTGAGAATCTTCAGAGATTTATCCTCAAAGGCAAATAATGAGATAGCACAGGTGTTATATTACAACAATGAGTTTGAATTTGTTACTGCAAGATGAATGAGTTCTCATCTTAAGAGGTAAAATTTTGGCTTTTTAAGTTAATCAGTTATACTGACTTAGCACACATACACATGCACACATGCACTGATTTTTCAATACCCACTTGAGAACACTTTACTCTCTGAAGTTGTATCTGTACTTACAAGTCACAGCAGAAAAATTGGGCAGATGCTATCCAGCAGTAAATGTAGCAAATAACCTCGAGTGAAAGTTGCTCACTCGTGTCCGACTCTTGGTGACCCCATGGACTATACAGTCAATGGAATTCTCCAGGCCAGAATACTCGAGTGGGTGGCCATTCCCTTCTTTAGGGGATCTTCCCAACCCAGGAATCGAACCCAGGTCTCCTGTATTACAGGCGGGGAACCACCAGATGAACCACCAGGGAAGCCAGCAAATAAGGTTAGTTGAATTAATCTAAGTTTCAATAGTCTGCTTAGGGTATATGCTGTCCTGTGCTTAGCTGCTCAGTCGTGTCTGATTCTCTGAGACCCCTTGTACTGTAGCCTGCCAGGCTCCTCTGTCCATGGGATTCTCCAGGCAAGAATACTGGGGTTGCCATACCCTGCTGCAGGGGATCTTCCCAGCCCAGAGATCGAACCCAGGTCTCCCACATTGCAGCTGGGTTCTTTGCCACCTGAGCCACCAGGGAATCCTGAGAATACTGGAGTGGGGAGCCTGTCCCTTCTCCAGGGGATCTTCCCTACTGCAGAATCAAACCAGGGTCTCCTGCTTTGCAGGAGATTCTTTACCAGCTGAGCTACCGGGGAAGCCCACTTAGTGTATAAATAGGCTTAATTCCTCATTTTTTCACCCATAAGACCAGACAATTACATAGTCTTTCAACGATATTTAAACTTGGTCTTCAGCCAGTAAATATTATACTATAAAATTCACTAACTTTAAGATGCTTTGAGGACTTACTGTTTGTAAATATCTTGGAAAAACTTCCTTTATTTATTGTTTGGAAGACTTATGCTTAGAGGCAACCAGAGGCTTTAGACAAAGTTGGAAATATAAAGCCAAAAAACTTGCAGATGAGTTTCAACCTGGCAACTTGCTGGGTGAAACTGAATACCCTTCTTATCTAAACTGGAAATTTATTCAGCAGTATATTGTGTTGAAACTAATGTTATTTGTTCTATTTTACTCCGATGAAACATCATGACATTAGGAAATAATCAGATTTCTTTGAATGTGTGTAGTTTAATTATATCCTAGATATTAAATATGTAACATTTTGCATAGAGATTATATTGATGTTTCAATCTAACTGAGAGTATTTAAATATAAATGTTAAATAAACATAATACATTTATAATAGCTGATTTCATTTATAACTTTAAATTTCCTTTCCATTTCTTCTTTGTCCTATTAAGAAAATTATGTTTCTCCTTTTAAAAACATGATCTTGTTTTATTGAGAGAAATTGTAAACTTTGTAATTAACTAGGTATCTCATGTATACTTCACCTTTCTGAAAGTAGGAAAGTAATTTGCTATCCACCCATATCCAAGAGACTTGACTTCATCGTTAAGTATTCTTTAATTTCATTTATAGCGTACTATATAGTTACTGAAGGAATGGACTGGATTCAAACTACCAAGATGAGAGTCACATCTTGATTTTACCACTTACTGTGCAAACTTAGCTGTTATATTGCCAAAGTCAGTTTCATCATCTATACATGAGATAAAAATACATAATATTATTTTATATAAATTAAAATAGAACTATATAGAAAATTATTAACCCAAGGCCTGCCATTTAGTAAATATTCAATAAATGTAAACTATTATATAAAGAGAAAAAGATACAGATTATTTGAAGCAGGTTTTCCAGTGTTACTGCTGAAAACAATGTTTAGCATACAGAATATTCATTATATAAATAAATGAACTTTTCTACTCTAAAATTTATATAAAAATAAAAGAATATATTTTTTTACTCTAAGATAAAAAAATTAGTCCAAACCCATCTTGAATAATTTATTTGTTTATTTTGATAATAACCTCTATGTGTATTAAGAACAAGGAAACCATCTAATTAAAATTTTCTTTAATGTAATGTTTCATCACAGGTTCATTACAATAGGAGCTACCTTATCTCATGGATTCCCTGGGGCATGGGAATGATACTGCAATGACAGGTTTCATTTTACTGGGCTTAACAAATGATCCAGTCCTTCGAATCATCCTCTTCATGATCATCCTCTGTATCTACCTGGTGACCATATGTGGGAATCTCAGCACAATTATTCTTATCAGAATCTCTTCTCAGCTCCATCATCCTATGTATTTTTTTTTGAGCCACTTGGCCTTTGCTGACATAGGTTATTCATCTTCTGTTACACCCAATATGCTTGTAAACTTCCTGGTGGAGACAAATACCATCTCCTATCCTGGATGTGCAGTCCAGCTTGGTTCCGTTGTTTTCTTTGGGTCATCTGAGTGCTTCCTTTTGGCTGCCATGGCTTATGATCGCTTTGTGGCAATTTGCAGTCCGCTGCTTTATTCCACCAAAATGTCCACACAAGTTTATGTTCAGTTACTCACAGTGGCTTATGTAGCTGGTTTTCTCAATGCTTGCTCTTTTACTATTTGCTTCTATTTTTTACTCTTCTGTGGACCAAATCAAGTCAATCATTTTTTCTGTGATTTTGCTCCTTTGGTTGAACTCTCCTGTTCTGACATCAGTATCCCTGCAGTTGTCCCCTCATTTACGGCTGGCTCCATCATTGTGGTTACAGTGACTGTCATAGCTGTATCCTACATCTACATCCTCATCACCATCCTCAGGATGCACTCCACCGAGGGGCGCCACAAGGCCTTCTCGACCTGCACGTCCCACCTCACAGCAGTCACTCTGTTCTATGGGACCATCACATTCATTTATGTGATGCCCAAGTCCAGCTACTCAACTGACCAGAACAAGGTGGTATCTGTGTTCTACATGGTGGTGATCCCCATGTTGAACCCTCTCATCTACAGCCTCAGGAACAATGAGATTAAGGGGGCTCTGAAGAGAGAGCTTTGTTAAAAAACTCATTTCCTGCTCTGTGCATCCATTCTTCTCCTAAGTTCTTTGATCATTCTTAGGATCATTACTCTGAACTCTTTTCTGGGTAGATTGCCTATCTTCACACCATTTCTTCTGCAGTTTTATCTTGTTCTTTCATCTGAAACATATTCCTCTGCTGCCTCATTTTAAGCTGCTATTTATGTTTTTGTATCTGTAGTATGTGTGTGTATGCTAAATTCCTTCAGTCGTGTCCGACTCTATGCAACCCTATGGACTATAGTCTGCCAGGTTTTTCTGTCCAAGGGATTTTCCCATGGGACTGGAGTGGGTTGTCATGCCCTCCTCCAGGGGATCTTCCCGACTCAGGGGTCGAACCCATCTCTCTATGTCTCCAGCATTGGCAGGCAGGTTCTTTTTCACTAGCGCCTCCTGGGAAGCCCATGTCTGTGGTTGAACCTTGGAGAACTGGCCCTCTGTAGGAAGCATCCTACACATCCCAGCAGTGCACTCTCCTCTCATTCCCCAAGCTATATGCTCTAGGAATCCCCCTAAGAGGGTTATGTGGGTCCTTCTGTGGTGGGCTGACTATGCCAGTAGTCTGGTTGGCTGCCAGGTTCAGCCTCGTATGGAGGCTTCCGGCTGCTGTTTAGCAGGGCCTGGTCACGAGGTGGCTGGCCCCTATAGGGCCCCAGGGCTAGCAATGGCTCACTGGTGGGCGGATCCAGGGTTCTGAAGACGCTGGGACTGTTGTCCACCCGCTGGGAGGTGAAGCCAGGCCCTGGGTTAGTGCTGGTCTACTGGCAGCCACACTCCAGGGTCCAGGGGTCCTGGATCTGATTTCCAATCATTGGTAGGGGGGTTTGGGGGTCCTGAAGGTTGCATTGGTCTGCTAGTGAGCAGGGCCATGGCCCAGCTTGTCCCAGGTCAGGATTTGGTCTACATTCTCATGTCTGTCCCCATGGGTGAGGCTAGTCTAGAGGCTTATGCGGACTTTCTTGTGGGAGGGGCTAGTGTCTGCCCACTGGTGAGTGGAGCTGAGTCCTGGGCTGCATCTAGAGGAAGCTGTGGGCTCTTTAGTCTTTAAGCAGCCTGTCTGCAGAAGGCTGGGGCTGTGTCTCCGCCCAGCTAGTTGCTTGGACTCAGTCTCAGCACCTGTAGGCTGTTGGGCTAATGAGCTGGAGGAAAATTTCCAAGATGGTGCTTGCCAGCATCAGCCTCTGCCAGCACCAGCGTCTACACGATAGACTCTGCTCCCAGGAGTGGCTGCGGCCAGTGTCTTTGTCCCCAGGGCGAGCCATAGCTGCCCCACCCCCTCCAGGAGACTCTCCAGGATCTGCAGGTAGGTCTGGTCCAGGCTCTTAGAATTACTGCTCTTGCCTGGGGTCCCAGGGCCTGTGGAATTTTGTGGGCACTCTGAGTGGAGTGTCTGTTTTCCTAGCCTGAGGGGCTCCTGCAATTAAACCTGTTGACCTTCAAAACTAAATGCTCTGGGGGCTCATCATCCTGGTGCTGGACCCCTAGGCTGGGGCTCAGAACTCTCGCTCCTGTGGGAGAACCTCAGCAATATAATTATTCTCCAGTTTGTGGGTCGTCGCTCAGTTTGGGGGGTGATGGTGTTTGATTATATTTTGAGTTTGCCCTTTCTACCTATTTTGGTGCTTTCTTTATATTGATACATTTAGTTGTAGAAGATCTTCTCTGGCAGGGTCTAGTCTTTTTCATTGCTGGTTGTTGTGCAGATAGTTGTGATTTTGGTGTGCTCCTGAGATGGAAGTGAGCTCAGGGTCCGTTTACTTTGCTGTCCTGGCTGCTCTCCCTAAGGTTGAAATGACCTTTGAAGTCATCTTTTGTTGGGTCATGAAGACCGTTTTGTTTTCCTTTGTGCTTTGCCTCTTTTCACAAACTTATAGTGCAGAGACCTTGTACCTAGCATTTCCCGCTGTGCTGACAACTCAGCTTGGGGGTGAAGAGAGAGCTTGCTAGAAATGTGTGTTCTTAATTTGTTTTTTCTTTTTTTTTTTTTTGGTATTTGATATAATGATGTACCATAAAATAATAACAAAAGGACAAACGGTGTCTGTGGTCAGATATATTGGTCTATGTGTTATTAGCTAATGTGAAGGCTCTTAGTAAAGGTTGGGGCTAGCTTTTTCCCATCTCAGAGAGTAAACTAGAGGCCCTTAAATAAACTGAAATTTAATTCTTAATTAGTAACCCAAACTGGTTAACATGAAAAAATAATCCTTTGAAAATTCTTTAAAGTTTTATTCATATCTTTTCAAAAGTTGTATTCTGGTACAAGTCAAGGAAGGTTATTGGACTGTCAAACCTTTAAGACTGGGTCCATTTCAAAAGTAGCTTGTCCTGGAATGAGTATGGTAGTTATAGTTATGACTGAGTATATTCTGAGAGGAGACAACCAAGTGGAACCAGACAGTGAAATTATTATAGACATTACTTTTGCATGGATATCTGCTGGTGATGGTCTTTTTGGACCCCCTGAAATCTGTTCTGTGTTCTTAAGTCTGACTCCAGCCTAGTTATAGGAGACTTCATAAAGAACAGTGTAGATGCCCCTGACCAAACCTGCTGTGAATTCTTCTAGGTCAAAACCAGGTGATTTCTCTATGGAAATAAGCAGGGTTCCTGAATTCCTAGGGAGTGATAAACAAGCTCTTTAAGTGACTTGTTTGTGGTCAAATGCACAGCCTAATTTTATGTGTCAATTTGGCTAGGCTACAGTGACCAGTTGTTTGGTCAAACATGAGATGTTGCTGGGAAGGTAATTTTTACATGTGATTAACATTTAGACTTTGAATAAAGCAGATTACTGCCCAACACGTGGGTGGCCCTCATCCAATCAGTTGAAAACCTTAGGCGAAAAAACTTAAGTCCTCTTAAAAAAAGGGATTCTGTCTCCAGGCTGCCTTTGGATTCAAGACTGTGACATCAACCCTTTCTGGAATTTCCAGTTTCCTGGACTGTCCCTTGCATTTTGGAATTGTCAGCTCCCATAAATGTGTGAGCTGATTCCTTTAAAACCACCACCACCACCACCATCACAGTGACTGTTTTCTCTGGATAATCCCAGCTAATAGAACTCTAACCATCTCTCCTTTCCCCTCTCTTACTGTCTTACTACTCATTATCCATATACCAACCATGGTAAAAATCTAACAGATTAATTCCTTTCTTAATATCCCCGAAAGACTTTAAGTAAAGGCAACAATTCTTAACATGTCTTACGAAGTCCTGAATGTGGCCCCTGTTACATTTTTCTCTCCCAGCACTCCTCTTGCACTCCCTAGACTCTCAGACTCTATGTATTATTGGCCTTTTAAAAACCATAAATATATCCACATTCTTTGCCACCATAGGACCCTCTCATGTGCAGTAACTCTACTTGAATGCATATCCCCCCTCACCTGGGTAACATCTACTTAGGCTATAGGTACCCACTTAAATGTTTCCCATTCTCCTGGAAACCTTCCTCAGGCTTCAGACCAAATTAAATACACCTGTTACCCCTCCGAAGCACCCTGCATACTTTTAAGAATACTCAGTGCACGTGCAGCTACAGATTCAGTATTTGTTTTCTCCAAAATGCTGGACTCTTCATACAGATACCTTTAATGTCTTGCTTTTTCTCTGTGTCTGTTTTTACATGATTTCTGGAACATAGTAAGCATAAATGTATATTTAAACTGTATGAATAAAACATTAATGAATGAATGGATGAATGGTTTTTGCTCTAGCATGAACCACTGACTTGGCAGCCTTTGCTTCTGTTGAACGTCAGCCTGATTCAAATTGACTGAATGTTTGTGTCAGATCCTGCTACACCTATGATAGGCCTTTGCACAAACCCATTCTCACCACAATAACACCACTGCCTTGACCCCGTTTAACTCAGATTGGCAACTATCATTGCAGCCTGTCTTAGTAAAAGCTATGCAATCACTCTGCTGAGTAGTGTCTCGCTTTTGTCTTGGCATGGTTGGAGACACAGAGGAGAGTTAGAACTTGTATAAGACAAATGTTAGCGTAGCAGTAGCAAGAGCGTTAGCAAAGGAGCTAACAATTGGAGATTGTCTATTACCTTCCAGTTACAGTTGTTAGTAATTTACAAGTAGTGACCCAATTAATCGTCAGAATGACCCCCAAAGGTGTTTTTTAATTCATCCTTTTCAGAAGCTGTAACTGAGACACATAAAGGTTAAGCAACAGTTCAGGGTTACAAATATCCTCTTAATACTCTGATTTCTTTTAAGGTACCTACTCTGTGTGGTCAGGCAGAATGAGGGGCTCTTGAAAATACTTCACCACTAGAGGGACTTTCATTGGTGACACATTTCATTCCTTTCTGTTCAAAGTATGCAGACTCCTACATCTGGATATGTCAGGCGAACTTGTATTAGGCCAAACTTCTGTCACAAAATCAATAAGAAGCTAGAAAAATATTGTCAAACGTTTGAAGGCATAGACTTGTCATCTCATAGAGGATGAAGTTGCTCCATACCCCTTAGGTTCTCCCTCTTATTGAAAACATCCCTAGATAAAACAACAAACAAGCTTAGGGAGATCGTAAAGAAGATGGAGAAGAAGGCAGACTCCTAGGGACTTTACCCCCGAGGAAATCTCATAGGCCTGAGTCCCTGTGTTTTCTTATTGCTTTCATATATCCTGGACAGGATGCTGCACAAGCCTCCAACCCAGAACCACCAAGAGACACAAAAAGACAAAAAGAGTTCAAAGATGAGTCTGTTCCTGCTGGCCGAGGAACTGGGAAAAGGGTGACCTAACAGAATAGAAAACCTTTTGGCAATACCTGCCCTACTGCAAACAAGCGAGCGTGGAAAACCATACCTGTCTCCTACCTGCAGGATTCACTAGGACCACGTTGGGAGCTATTTTTTACCCCTCTCCCCAACGTTTGATTCATCTGCTGGGGTATTGTCATGGAGGGGATCCTACAGGGAAATGAACCTCCCCTGGTCATCTGGCAGCAATGAGACAAT